GGGGGTTTCGCCCCGCGCTCTCCTTGCTGAGTGGTGACACATGTGTTGTGACATGGCAGCTGCACGGGCGCTGCATTATGGACTATCTGGGGACGGCCTGTTGTGGCTGTAAGGGTTAACAGGCCAGGGGTCTGTGGGTACGTCACTGCCACACTCCCAGAGGTGGATGCAGCACATTAAAGGCAGACAAGGGCATCGGTATGCGGTTATCAAAAAAAGCTTGTTTGTCACGTTAGAGTATAATGTCAAATTTACACTCCTCAACAGAGGATAAAAGGGATTTTCGAGCTATGAAGGTCATTTTGAAAGCTAGTGAAAATGGTCTGAAATCCACCACACACATGTCACCACTTATGATAAGCGACCTACTATTTTTACTTTCTGGAATGTGAGGCATTCTATGTTTGTATATGTTGCTCTTCTAAATAAATCAATGTCCCTATGCAGGCCCAATTCACGACAAGTACTGAAAGGAATCTTTGAGAAATGTTTTTTTTTTTCGGGGGGGGGTAGCTGCAGGATTTTTAGGTGTATGATCTCAGTTTTTTTCTGTGAAGGTGAAGTCATGAGGCCTTAGCTATAAATAAATGTCATGTCACACCTTCCTCTGTTTCTGCACTTGTGTAGAAACAGATGTGTGCTCTGCTTTCCTCTCAAGTTGTCCACCTTAGTTGTGTGTCTTTCTGGAGCACAAAGGCGTATTCATGATGTGGAAGCGGTGCCTGAGGGGAAAAAAGAAGTCTGGGGCTACACCCTACGGTCCACGCACACATACACACACACACAAAAACACACACTAAAGCGGCTCAACTTGTCTTGGCTGAGACCGTTTGCACAAAACAGAGCGGAGAAAGAGAGGGACAAAGGGAATGAGATGTGAAGCCAGTCTATTTCTTGCCAACTATCATCGGCAATGACGTGCCATTAGTGTTTCTGTCTTTCAGCGGTTATCTCAACTTTCCTCTGCACTGTCATATATATAATCTACTACACCTGCTTTTCCTGCCTTTTTGGCAAATTAAAAACCATGTCAGGTTTGTGTATGAAAAACACACTTTAAGTGCTGTTAATTTTATGCTTGGCACCAGGTTTGCTGAAAGCCAGCCTTTAAAAATGTATTCACATCTCCTTCAGCGTACGCTACATGTCTGCTAAGAGCCATGTTTTGAAATGCTGCTCCAGATGTGAGTCTCTGCACCCCGCTGAGAGAGATGAATGGCTAGGGGGGCTGCAGGCTACCTACAGGTTCACATCCTTAATGAGCAGAGGAGTCTGCTGAGAGCGAGATATGATTGATAGCGCCGCGACAGAACTAGAAGAGGGGAATCGCAGCGAGGGCTTCTGATAAAGACGGCGGGTTGGAGGGCTTTGGCAGGCGGCAAAGAGAAGGAATCTGGCATCGGACTTGCCCAAGCTAGATGCCAGGAACCAGTCCACCATTCTACAAAGCCAGAGCGCTTCCTCTTGTTACAGCCCCACTTCTCTGGTCTGTTAGTTTAATCTGAGCTGGATGTTCCTCCCTGTTGCGTGCCTCACTATATTCCACATAACACACTTTTCCCTCCAAGGGAAACAAATAGCAAAGGTGGAATTTCTGGCAAGTGACTCCGGATGTTGTTGGCAGAGAGTGGAGCTGCTGGAAGTCTTTCTGAGTGGACAAAGAAAAGAGACAGAGGGGACCTGGTGTATATTTATTGCCTTCACTCCAAACAACTTGCGATGTTTTCATTTCTTTTAATCCTCCCTGGGTCTAACGGGGTGTTAATGGTCCACTCCGAGCGAGTGGACGCTTGTGACACTAAGTCTAAGACAGCACAGAAATGACATCAAGGAGAGAATTACAACAGAAGCTCAGAATTCAGCTAAATCGTCTAAACCCCCTTTCCTTTCAGAAGGCGGCAGTAATACAGGCAACCGCCACTTCAGGATTTGCAGCCAAGAGCAGTCCCCACAAAATAATGAAGTGAGGCTGGATGGATGCCAGGAGGGTGGCTGGTTATGTCAGCCTGCATAATGTGTTAGACCAGGGTCTCTGTCATGTCATACTAGTGAGCTATTGACTGCCCTGATTCCCATTAATCCTGCAGTATCGGATCTAATCATTCTACTACAGCTTTATCCAATAATGTACTCAGTTCAGTGAGCGTTAAGTAAATGAAGCACTTTGCCTTGACAAAAACAATTAGATGAATCACCAGAATTACCTTAAACAGAATGACAAAATGTCCCATTTAAAACGTTTTCTACTTGTCACAGTGTTATTGTCATTGATCACTACGCTTGGTTGACATTTGTAATTAAACAGAACTACGGTAAAATTATTTCCTATGCAATTTTTATTTTTTTATTTTTTTATTTTTTTTTAAAACAGCAAGCTTAAGTAATAATAAGTTGTTGTTGTTTACCTCTCGGTGTAAGCTCATTCAATGGCATATGAAGTATGGGCGTCAACAAGGTATGTGCACTTGCCAGAATGTAGTTAGAGTCCGAGTGCTGCAAGGGTTCATTATTTGGTTCACATTACAGAGACAAAGACAGACAGACAGACAGACAGACAGACATCTGAAGTCCTATACAACCTGTGTGAGAGCGCGGCAAACCACATACCTTTACTTTTCTCTACTTCAACCCCTGAACCTGCCGCTCACACGACTCCACATTCCCCACACGTTTAGCAAAAGGAGAGGGTTAGCTTACCTGTCTTGAATTGTTTTGACCTCGTCCTCGGCTCCACACTTGCTTTGTGATAACGACTGCAATCCAAGGTGCGTTGATGAAAAATGAAAAAGTCCTACTGGATAAATACTACCGTGTCCCCCCGGCTGGCAGCGCGGTGCTCTAATTTTAGCCCACTAGCAGACACGCGAACCGCACTGGCGGTTTAAATACCACTTATGTAATTACTAGTTAATTAGCTACGTGTCTAAATACTAATCATTAAGCGCGCGCGTTTCTATCGCTGTACCCGCGCGAAGCATCCCCGCGCGCTTCGCTCCGTGGCAAATGTGGTCAGCTGTTGTTGTTCTTTTTCCTCGGAGAAGTAAACAAGGTGGGCTCGGGCTCTTGCGGCTGTGTGGTAGTCCATTCAGGGTGGTTTCCCGTGCAGAGGGTCCCGAGCAGCTCACGTCGTTACGGCTCGGTTGACAGTTCACATGAATGTGCGGCGGAGAAAACAACAGCAGCGTCGCAGCAGCAGCAGCTCCATCCCCTCCAGTCAACTACTGCCGAGGAGTTCACGGACTGCTCGGAGTTTTCTCCACTCTCTTGTTGTTGTTGTAAGTGAATGGTCAGTGACTTGTAGCAGCTGTTGAACTGATGCTCGGATTGATTTTGTTTATGGCTGTCATTAAATATTATTTTCATGATCGTGTAATCGTCGGAAAACTTCGTTCATCACTATTTCCAGAGCATGGTGACATCTTCATCCTTTTCAGCATCGTTCTGTCCGACCAACAATCCAAAATCATTATAGTATTTTAAAATGTCACTGAATTTGTCAAGTATTTTCTTGGTTAATCGATTAAATGATTAATAGTTGGGTCCATCAGTCCATGTTTACACTAATGTGAAGACCAAGAAGAGCAGCAAATTCTCAGATTTGAACCTGGAACCATCAAATGTTTGTTATTTTGTATGAGGATGTGAAAAAATAAATTCTTAATTCTTTCAAGGCCTCCTCATTACAGCTCTGTCCTGCTCTGTTTCAATTTAATAGTAGTTCATTTATTTCTTGTATATTTCTACACCTGCTTATCAGCCATCAAGCCATCAAACTAGCCCTAAATCACCAATTTTACTTGTCTGTCAACCTTTTTATTTACCTTAGTGTCTCCTAAATGTCACATTAATACCATTTTGTTTGGACCTGTGTTCTGAATACGTAATTGTCATATTTCCCACAGCACTTGAAGGCGATCTAACACTTTCTTAGTGGGGCTGTGTGTTGGAGATCTGCTCTGCAGGGATGTGACCGACAAAGAGAGGGGAGGGAGCAAGCCCCTCTCATCTGTCATGCATTTCCCCTTTGATTCAGCAGCAGCCACTGAATCTTATTTTCCAGCATTTCTCCCCCTGAGCGCTTTGTTCTGTGTTCAGCTGTGGAATGTGTTACAGAACACAGTTAATTGTAAAAACCTTATATCTCTGATCTCGTTTTAATCTCTCTTTACCTTTTTTCTTTGCAATGGTTTAAACGAACCAGAGGGAAAAAAAATCAAGGTTTGTGCCAAGATCACACAATTATAGTCAGACCTACATCACAGCAAAGTCTCTGCGTGGAACAAAAACCCATGGCTTTAAAGTTAGAATCTGTGTGTGATAAAAAGTAGCTCACAAAACGATCAGGGAACAATGCTCACAAGTGCCCCCTTTAAATAAAACTACCCAGATCAAATTTGAATAATGAATACACACCTGATGGCATTCATCCTTTTGTGTTCTCCATTTCTGTAACCAAGAAGTGAACTAATGTCTTTGCCATTATTTCCCTGGCAACCCCACAATTCGACAAAACCACTCTCTTTCAAAAATATGTGATTTCATTATTTTCAGAAGCCACTTCAACCTGCAGGGCAATAGCAGCCACCACTGTAGGCTGCAGGTCACCCCTTCCCCATAAACGCTGCAGCCAATTTGCATGAATTCATGTAAACTCATAGTTTTGAAAATTGTAATTATGAGGTTCAAAATTTGCCAAACACTGCCGAAATAAGCAGTAAAATGTAATATTTGCTCCACCTGTTGGTTGTTTTGTGGCAATGCGTGGTGAGCTAAATTCTGCAGACTTCAATACCGGTATTACGGCTGAGCTGCACATCTAACTCAAAACCTACAAAAAGCACAAACCCTCACAATGTGTGCAGAGTACAGAGTAGTCTGCATTAGGGTAAAAGTCAGTCACACACACACACACACACACACACACACACACACACACACACACACACACACACAAAGATGTGATGAGATGTGGTAGAAAAAAGTGCTCCAACACAAGCATGTTTTTCTTTTTGCTCTTTTTTAAACAATAATATCATCACATATAAATTCTCTCTATCATAAATCAATTTGTAAGACATTTTACAAATCAAACTCCTGAAGTACAGAAGAAAAGTACATTTACAAGTACATTAAGACACTGTGACACAAGGTTGCTGAGTGAAAAACAGTAAGGCACCAATGCCGTATGTGGCATAGGTAGTTTCTAAACTAAAAGAAAGAAAATAAATAAATCACCAGTTAAAACCAGCATTAAAAACCAGAAGATTGTTCAAAATGTGTCAAGAAAGTGAAAGCAACAGAAACAATACTGCAAAGCATAAACATATTGTTTTAGTTTTAGTAAAATCGTACTAGTGGAACACATCTTGTGAAAGATTAGCGAGACAAAGAGTTAGAAGATCGTTCTACCTGGTTTTTGTGTCGTTTGTACGGAAGCAAAAAAAAGGCCAGGGTAATTTTTTTAATTTTTTTTATTAAAAACCAACCTTAACTCAAACCACTACTGAATACTTAATGTTGAAATTTAAACATAATTTAAATAGCATTGAAATATAGTATTTAACTTGAAAACCATATATCTGTTTATACGGTTTGAATTTGAAAACTTTGTTTAGTTTCACAGAGTCAAATAGAAAATTCAATTGTCCAGGGTTGTCCAGTTGCGAGGAGTTGAGGTCTAATCGAGCCTTCGTGGCGCAGATGTTAAAGTTTAAAGTTTCTTGAATTTTAGTGTCAGAATTTCCCAATCTAATTTTAGCGACCCGATTTTTGATTTAACCTAAAATTTTAGATCTGAAAATTTGAGCAACCTGAATGTAGTTTTTCTTCAATATCTGAATTTGCGAACTCTAAAAACACTTTTAAAATCAAGTTTCCAAAGTAGCACAACTTGAAATTATTTCCTAAAAATGTTAAAGGGGGCAATTTAAACCAAATACATTTTTGATAGATGGTTGTCAAAATAAAACATTTTAACGCTATAAATTCAGTGGCATTCTAATTAAGCTGTGACTAAACTGCACATCACATGAGTTGCCTGCAATATTAAAATCCTATTGGCCTTTTTTTGCTTCTGTAGTTTGGTAGCGAGACCTGGTTTTAATGTTCTAAAAAGTAAGTGGCATGTTAATCACACTACTAACTGGATGTGTGGTGCTCAAAGGAAAGTGTGAGAATACATGTTAAATACATTTTAAATTTTCAGTTGTTAATTCTTTCTACCGCTGTGAAGAGTCAAAGAGCTTTTTTTTGTCACCAACGTTCACCATTCGTCATCCAGGTAGATTTCCAAGATGCACAAATGCCAATGGAGCACAGCTGCCATCAGACACCCACCGATAAAACATCACACTTAAAAGCTATTTATATTCCTGCACATCTTCTGTTGATTCAACAAGATCCCTCCCCCTTTTCTGCAGGTATAGTCGAACGGTGAGAAAATGATAATCCATTTACTGAAGTCCAATCCAATAATCCAGGCTGATAAAGAAAAAATATATTACAAGAGTGGATTTTTACTTTAAGCGGACAACTAATTATATGATGTCTCTCTCCATGTACACGTGAGATGCTGCCGAGCTATCTTTTACATGGTGTGTTTCACTGTTGTGCTGTAAAGGCTGTGCTTCTGTTTCACACTGTTAAAAAGCATCAAAGCTGAAAAGTCTTGACAGATTGCTTTGAGATGAGCTCTGCAGGTCTCCGTCACATCCCTTTCTGGTTTTAGAGAAGGCAATGTAAAGAGGACCAGAGCTGTAAGACATATCTGTGTTGGTTGGGTTAATATTTGATTCACCATTTAACTGTCTTGACACAATTTCTTCCCCATTATTGATACAAAAATAGATAAGAAAACATTTACTGTATATAAAGTATATGGCAGACAATCAAGAAGTGGGTTACTTTGTTCTAAATACCAGTAATTAAATTCAGAAATTGTTACACCCAACAAGAAAATGCAACAGCTACCTATATCACAGCCCCCCTCCCACGCCCCCCTTTACTGTACCTTTCCAGTCAACACACGCACACACACATCCACTTGGTAAACAGTGCACAAAGCTAGCTTTCACCACAACCACAGGCACAGTAAAGAGTATATGTATTTTCTGTTGTCTGTAAATGAAATGAAGTGAGAAAGTGGCCAAGGCTAAAAATACAACCCATTTGCCTGTAGACACTTTGTCAATGCACACTGGCTCCTATGAAAACAGTTTGAATTTCCTTCAGTGAGGCTGAGCAGTGCTGTGTGTGCTTTCTGTAATTATAGATGCAGGTCTGTGTGCTCTGAGGGCGTGTTTGTGTCAGGTTTTGTACTGGGTCCACTTTAAAGAAGTGTATGAACTGACTAAACCATAAGGCAAGGGATTCTGTGTGCAGCCACAGCACTTATTAGCACCAGAGCAGGTAAAAGAGAGTAACAGGTACATAGTCTTCTCACCTGTTAGCTTTACTGCTGTGATGTGTTACCAAGATAATATTATTCAAGAGATACCTATAAAAAAAGTTGAAAGTCTTGAATTTCTTTGAATATGCCTTTGATATTCTGTGTGACTTTTGAAAAGTTGATGGAAACTTTTACTACACAACCACCACAGCCACTACTACACCTTTCTATATATAACATATCTCAGTCTGCACTTCCACTGTCGGTGATGTTATAAATCTTATTTGCCTGACAAAAAGGTTTAAAATGATTTAGTGGCTGTTTTGTTGAACTGTGTTGAGGTTCAGACAATGGTTTTGCCTCGGCAGTGTCGCCTGAGAAAGATTAATTAAAGTGTAGTAATTCAGCTCAAGTCTCCAAAGTAATTCCCCAGTAAGTTCTCTGGAAACTGCTTCCTGTTCTTCCAACATATCTTTCAACACGCTTCCATCCCCAGAGAGTCCTGCACATGTTGGACTGCAACGATAATTGCAAATGAATTTGCAGTAGCTTAGGCAGAAACAACATTTACAACATGGTGAGTTAACCTAAAATGTACCCATATTCTATTTCTAAAACTTATTTCAATAATGTCCTGGATGAAAGAAATGGTGCATTTTATGTTTCTATTCCAAAAACAACAATATAGGTAGCATGATAGCTTCATGTAGCCATACCTCTGGCTTAAACAACTGACATATGGAGAAAGTCAAACTCAAGAGCTAAGTAGAAAAGTACCCTGATTGGGGTTATTGTTTTCAGAGCATGGCACTGTTTACTGCTGTAACAAGGAAGTTGCTACAATTAGCTAGCTAGCCGGGGAATTGCTTAAAGGCCTTGAAAACAAACTTTCATTATTTCTTTCTAACATGAAATATTCATTGATAAATGACTAAGCAACAGTTAAAGTTACTCAAAAACACTGTTAATCTGCTTCAACCATGGATGTATAATGAGAACTGGATACAGTGTTGGGGGTGGTGCTCTGCTCTTTCCTATGAAAGCTGCACAGTGGCACATAAAGCCAAAAAAGCCACTTCCTGCAGTGTAGAAATTACCCGGATGAATGTACACACAAATCTGGGGAAACACTAGAGGTAAACAAGTCGGCATTATTGAGGCGACATCTCCCTGCAGCAGGCATGCATTTGAAGTCAAGCTGTCCTAAGAAGTGTACAATTTTCTTCTTTTCCCATTATTTTCTATGTAACGTTACTTTAACAATGATTTCTAGGAAATGTGGGAAGGAGCTGTGCAGTTATCAGCTGCTCCTACAGAAGTGGCTCCTTTTTTTCTCTGTTTCTGGCTATTCTCATAACAAATGTCTACATTCATCAGTTCATCAACTTGCCACCGCAGTAATGACGGCGCTACTGGCGCAACACGCGACCCAACTGCCGGATTCGTGTATACTTCACATGCATGAGTGGCCTATAAAGCAAGTGTACCAGAGACTTCTGCCGGCTGAGCTGATTGACTCCCGGTTTAGCCCTCTGTTAACTTGAATAGGGATCTTCGAATAGTAAGACGAGTAATTTCACATGACGGATGCCATTGCTGTAATAACACGGTATGGCCATTATGTCGACGTGGCTTCAAAGCCCGCTGCTCTTCTTGATGGCTCGGCTTCAACAGGACAGTGTGGGTGTGGTTTGTTTGAGGTAACATAAGCAAACAATCCCACAACTGTCACCGGATTTTGATTCAAATGTTGGTGAACTCTGACTGGTTCACAGTGATACATGACATCACCTTCTCCAAATAAGCCTCGCCCACTTCAAACCTGTGAGGAAAACAAAGAGCAAGAACACAAACAGAAATCCCTCATATGAAACAACCAGTGATGGCTAACGGCGTTATAAATAACGGCGCTACTAACAGCGTTACTTTTTTCAGTAACAAGTAATCTAATTGATTGCTCTTCCCATCTTAATACCGTTACTGTTACTGCCAAAAAATGCGGCGCGTTATTATAATTGAAGCTGTTTTTTTTATCAGACCAACTAGATCTTTGAGCCGAGAGGCAAAGACTTTTTTTTACTGTTCTTCCTTGGTTAGTGGGCAGTGCACGAGACAAGCGCATATATGCTGACCATTGGCTGAGGTTGAGTAAAATTTCATGGTAAGCCAATCAGAGGTAGAGTTGGGCGGGTGTTCGAAAGCACACATAGTCGGACACACAATGAACAACACAAGTGAGTCAGTCAACGAGAGACAGGTATGGAGAGTTGTGTTGCATCTTATTACATTTGCACTAAAAAGAGTGTATATATTTTTTGAATACATTTTTGGTACATTGCTTAAAGAGCATCATTTAATTTAGATTTATTTGTTGGCTGGCTGCAGCCTCTTGAAGTGAGATTGTCAATGGCCAGAGAAAGAGGTTTATTTTTATGGAGATGTATTTTTTATTTTTTATGTATTACCTGTTTAGATTCCTTAGTTTTGTTATACATTGTACTTTTCGGCATTAAAATGGTTTAGATTTGTGTACATTGTTTCTGTTAATAATGTAATGTATTAAGTGTCCATTTAATTATAATATTCAGATTTACCATAAATAATTGAACATGCACATGTATTTTAAGTTCCGTTAAAGAGGGGTGGAGGTGGGGTCACATTTGAGCATTTAAAAATGTACTTGAAAGTAATGCAATAGTTACTTTTTGGAAGAAGTAACTAGTAACTGTAACTAATTACTTTTTTAAAGTAACTTGCCCAACACTGGAAACCACTGAAACAGTTGTAACTTTAGTGGAAAGGTTTGTGTTCACGAGGGACCAACTGCTCCTAGTGAGAGACCAACCGACGGAAAATGTGATTTCAAGGCCTTTAACGACAGTGGTGCAAAGTCCATTACAAAGTAAAAAAAAATAAGTAACTTCTACTGATGTGAAGTGGCCATGCATGTCCTGTCCTGGCTCCAAAATGAAAACTATTTCTCGGTTGACATACGCTTCTTATACACAAAAAAGGAGGGGTCGGGTTTCTGGGGGCCTTGTACAAGAGTTGTAAATCTGTCTGATAAGATTAATAAGATGTCAGTTGTTTGAACTGGAGGTGTGGGTACACAAAGTTATCAGACAAGAAATTACTTAATGTTATCCAGAACCTGCTTTCTTGGAACTGGTCCCAGCTCAAGCAGTTTAACAGACAAAAAACAGTGAGCGCCATCTACAGAAACTTAAAGGTCATTATAAGGCAATCCATGAAATAAATGACATCACAATACTAGCCATCTATGTCTAATCAGTGGCTGTGGGTGATTTTACAAACAGTGCCATGAAAATGCTTATGCTTTGTCCATTTGAACTCTGAGTGCAGAAACACATTCTGTTCCTTTTTTTCGTCATCACCACTGACCCTGGTCCCTGAACGTCTGTCACATTCCTCTATCCCAGCTGAATTTATCCATTTCTCGCCCGTCTGGGAGGACAACTGCTCTGCACAGTCATCCTCACGCACTTTCTCTACTTAATGCTCTCTTGCTGTTAGGATTCCAGCAAACTGTGCCAGTGGCAAACCTGCTGTCCTTTAGACTCTTTCATCTGAGTCCAGTGGGTGAGCTCCTCCTCTCCAGAGCTGTTGAGGCCGAGTGAAATCCAGCCAATCATCTCTTTGCGCTTCATGCTGCGCTTGTTGTAGACGGAGAGGATGAGCGTGACGTCCGACAGCTGGAAAAGAGCTACCTGGAAGACAAACGTCTCTTTGTAGGTGGGGTTGGGCTGACCTCGACAGATGGATGTCTTACACTTGGACATCTCGTGGCCCATGGAGTTCAGTAAGGTCAGCTTAACGTACGTATCTGAGCAAGAAACAGATGTAGACAATTAGAGGGGAAATTATGTTAACCTTTAGAAGTAGTTTTAAATGCATGGTTTACAATGTTAAAACATTCAGGGTGTTGGAAAAACTCAGGCACCTGACTTGAGTAATGGATCATTTGTGCAAAATCCTTATGTTTCTCCAGTGTATTATCTTTGAATTAAAGCATCACTACCTGCAGCAGCTGTGTTTCCTCTGCAGCAAAGTATGACACATTTTCCCCACAAAGCAAATTTTGTTCTTGTAATAATGTCACTGCAGTCGATGTATAAGATAATGACCACATAGGATGTGGTTTTCTCCTGATCAAACACAAAGAGCAACTGTGAGTGTTCCCGATAACAGAGAGCGAGAACTCAAAGGGTGCAAGGAGCGTTACTTCAGTCTTGTTGCTATGCAACGACTGCATGTCTAACCTGAAGTAGTGGATAATGTTGAAGATAAAAATGGACTGGAAAAAGTTAGTAATACGCCTGCCTGTGCGTAGAGGATGAGGAGCCTCTTCCAAAACAGATGCTTAAATTAATGTTCCTCATCAGGAAAGCCCTGCAGGAGCTACTATTATGTTCTCTGACTTTGCCATAACGTCAGTGTCATGACGTGACATGTGCGCAGACTTTTAGAGCCCAGAACAGTGTCCCAAAACGTGCCCTGTCCAAAACTTGAGTCACATATTCAGCAGGAGATGCGTGACTGCTGCAAACAAATGAGAATGTTCAAAAACATACACTAAGTGACTGCTGCACAGTTCTAATACGTCATGACAGTGGTGGTTCAGTGAGATGCAGCAATAAAAATGAAATCCAGCTCAAGATCTGTACAATCAAAAAAAGAAGACTGCCTTTGGACATGTTTAACAGCAGCATTAAGTAATTTAGATCTAGTACAGAGCAGTGATGTTACTGATAATCTTGGTCTGTGTGACATTTCCCAGCTTTTTTCTTTCCACCAGCTGATTCCCTTTCTCTTCTATTGTAAATCAGTGCATATTGCAAAAAAAAAACATTCCCAACAAATATCATTCATTTAACCCCAAAGAGGAAAAAGGAAAAGGAAAAACACTGCCATTATCAAGTGATTTAGCATTCACGCTTTCCTTATTCACCTCATCTCCACGCAGAAATCACGATACAAACTGAAGCCACAAATCCAGCTGAAAGTAAACGAAGCAAGACTGGCAATCACAATGGGTCTTTGAGAGTGTTTCGCCCCTCGTCTACAACCATACTCCATAATAATGCTGTGTATTATGTTCCTGTCTAAGAGGGAGTATAAGGAATGAATTGCCGAGGCTTTCATGCTGTCGAGTGCCAGCTGCCTTCCAACGCCTAGCTCACCGCCTCGAATCACACATTCAGTTGCTCTCTTTGACATAAAAGCACAGTGAAAAAAATAGCCTTGATTTCTTTTTTGACTGCTGCTGAATGGGCTCTGTAGAGCTGTGGATGTCTTAAGTGGTCAGTAGCGGTGATGCATGGCTCTTTGGTATTGTTGCTGAATGAGAGGGGCTGCGACTGATGATTAACTTGACTTGTCGGCTTGGTACTGTTTTGAAGTGATAGAAAAGGAGCTTTGAAATTGCTCTGCATCTTTCACCGCGCTCTCTCCACTTTGTGAGATGCATAAAGTCAATCAAGGCCTTCATAAGCATTTTGCACAAAGATTTTTTTCAGTGTTACCAGATGTGACTATTTTCTAAATGTAATTTGAAGACGATACAGTATGTGGGATATGCTATTCAGGAAAGCACAAACAATATCCAAATCTGGCAGCTAGTCATTAGTTACAGACATTCATAAATACAAAGAACACAGCAATTAATGGGAGGACAGTTACAGTGTGTCTTTTAGATTAATATTTATGCTTGTCTCTATCACACAAGTCCTGTTTTTGTCTCAAGTACTGTAGCAGAACTGAAAAATGTAAAATTACACTCAAAGCATGCCAAAATGTACTGTTTGGACGAAGCCAGCAGTCAGTGACGCACAGCATTTCCTTCGAGCTGGCCATCAGCCACCAAACAAACCGGATTGAGTTACTTCTGAGTGTGAACATGAAAGACTTCCAGGCATCACAGGCACAAACACAACACACAGGTAGGGGAGAGCGCTTACAGGGCTGCATGCATAACAAGACATACATGTTTGAAAAAAGGTTTACAACAAGCAGCTATCTTCATGGATAAATGTCAGAATATTAAAGTGAAAATGCAAATGTGAAGTAATTGCTAGAACTCCAATCACCAATTTTGATGCATTGAAATGTTACTTTTGGGAAACAAGTATATTTGCTTATTTGCCAACAGTGAGATGAGAAGATTGATAGAACTCTCACATCTGTTTGCTAAATATGAAGTAACAGCCAGGACAAGGTTAGCTTAGCTTAGCTTAGACTGGAAACAGGGGTAAACAGCTGGCCTGGCTCTGTCTGTAGCTAACAATACCCGCTTACAAACAACTCCAAAGCTGCCAGGCTTGGTGTTCCCAGTCTTTATGCTAAGCTAAGCTAGCCGGTTGCTGGCTGTAGCTTCACATTTACTGTACCGATATGAAAGTGGTACTGGTCTTCTCGCCTAACTCTCGGCAATAAAGTGAATATGCTTGTTGTTTCCCAAACATTCTTCTGTTTCCTCATACAACAATGTTTTGCAGATATTTATCATGGAGACCACATAATAAATAAAATGGAAACGTAAAATATGTCAATTATAAATGCTAACCAATGGAAAATGCTTCGTCTGATTGGGTGCATCCATGAAGATAGTATGAAAGGGTTCAACAGCAATAGCACCTCACTGCGGCAGGGGCAGAGACTCACCTCTTATTATATAAACCTGTCCACCTATCAAGTGTTTTAGACAACAGAACAGTCCATCTGACAACAAGGGTTGGACAGCAGTAAGAAAAACAACGGACCAAGATGTCAAAAAGGTAGTAGGGTGAGAGAGTTTCAGGTGCAGAAATAACAGAAGATGCGAGGAAAGAGAAACAGGGTCAGAAGGCCAACGACATTGCACAAAGTTCAACACGAGACACTTTTTGTTTGAACTTGCTGCTCGGATCCCGGAAACTGGCTGAGGAGACTAACCGGAAAATGAGGGAAACCAGGGATCGGACCGGAGGAAAACTGAAAAGCAGGTGGTGTAGCTGAGATAGACTGGGCTATCTCTTTTTTTGGAGAAGTTACAAGCTGTGCATAGTTTCTCTGCCTCAGGTGTACTAAAATAAGAATATAAATAAAAGCAAATAGCTTGGCAAATTCCTTTCAAGTTTCATATACTTTTCCAAGAATGGTTCAAGCTTCTCATTTTCTCAGTGTCCAAGTTCCATTTATATTTCATACTAAGGGGAATGAATGTGTTGTATACTGACAATATACTTTAAGATGATTTAACACAAAAAACTAGTTGGTGGTCTGTATGGCTTGTAATCTGTCAGACAGAAAAACTACAAATTTGTTTGATGTAGAAAAACAGTATCATGGGTTGTGACATTTGCTGTAGAAGCAGATTAGAATATTGTCGTTATTATTGTTATGATACATTTTGTGTTAAGCTGCCTACATAACATAAATCCCTATGCACAAGCTCAACTTGTCCTTTCCCCATCTGAAACCGGTTTACACTCTTCACTGCTCTATTGGAAAATGTCTGAAATAGAACGTTTTAGAGTACTTACTGGGTGGCTTGTTGGCAGCCAGGTTTTTGAAATGGATGCCTTTGATGATCTCCACAGAGAGACGTCCTGTAGTGGCGTTGTACACCAAGCCCACAAGGATTTCTGGTGTGGAAGCCTGACTGACTGACTGGAATGATGAGGCGCTTTCACTGCATGTCATATCTGAGAGGCTGACCTGGGATTCACCACCCTGAAAATTGGCCAGAAAATTGTTCACTGATAACAAAAACATAAAAAGATCTATTGCAATATCAAGAAGATTTATGTTTATTACTTTGTTTGACACCTTCTGACATTAATAGCATTTTCAAAACACAATGTAGAAATGCATGATAATTTTGATGACACTACATAGTCTTCGCCCAGCCTCGAACCCCAGTTGAGGAGGGCAGCGGTATGGAAAATACTGCACACAGTGGAGAAATACTACAGTGGGCGTGCTATAGGCCTTTTTTCAGTAACCTGTAACCCCAAAAGCTAATCCAGTGAGCTAATGATGTGCTCCTTGGCTTCGGAGGTAACAGTAACTACTGTAGATAGTAAGCCAGTTAGCTGGGCTTGCTAATGATTGCAGCTTTAACTGGGGCAGAAAAACACAACTGTGTCACACACTCTTGCTCTAGTTTTTTGGCTTTTGGAAAGGCTTTTCAACACCATATGTTGCACTAACAAGATAACAAATGTAACTAATATATGACAAATTTCTTGTAGAATATGTAAATAACCCTTGTGGTTTGAGATATGCCTTAATTGCTTAGGCTGCTTTTTCGCTTTGTAATCTGTATTTAAATTGCTGTAACATTATAAATGCTAGCAAAAGGAACACATAACATCACAACTAAGTGTCATTGTCACGCCACCATCTATTCCTCAGAAACAATAAACCAACAAGGCAAACAAAAGTAGCTGCTTGGTAAAACAAGATCTTTACATTCTCTCAAGCTGCAAAATAGAACCTCATTCTGAAAATGTTATCCAATCACACGAAAGATCAATCAACACAGAGGAGCAATTAGTGAGGTGTTCTGAGAACGCTTGAAAGTCAACACCTGCTTTGATCCTACTTACCGGGAGAGCACAGCATGGGTCTAATATGACTGGCACAGACATTTTGCCCTGAAGGTTGAGCTTGGTGAGGTAGAACACCTTCTCACCGAGCACCTTCTCCTTCTTCATCCGCCGCATGCTATAAAGGCGGAATCGGATGGCATAATTGCTGATCATCTCTGACTCCACATGGCTGAAGCGGAATGTCTCTGTGAAGATTGGGCACGGGCCTCTCTGGATTCCTGTCTTCGCCCTCTGCTTCTTGGTGGGCAACAGCACCAGGTGGACCTGCCAGGAGATGTTGCCGGTGCGTTTTACAGCGGGGAGGTCCGTTACTGCCATGATGGTGACCGCCAGCTGCTGTTCGTCTGAGTCAAAGTCAAACACCACGTCCAGAGTTCCGTATTTTGCAATTGGATCCGGTTCATAACCTTTAGGGAGCTGAGCTGCTGATCCACGGGCTGACATGTCCTAAAAAAAAAAAAAACAATAAGATGTTCAGTGTACAATAAAAAACCTCAATTTGCATTCCCTGTCATATCTTGTTTCACCGGTATTTACCTCTGGGCTGAGGACAGCTGTACTGTCACTGGGTACATCTTCCTCGTAGCCCTTGTTGAGGTAACTCTCAGTCTCGTGGTCGTCACTGCCCTCACTGGGGCATTTGCCAAAGGACAGGTGGGGACTGCCACTGCTATGGGATAGATCACACTTAGCATCACCCAGGTCCGACAGTGTACAGGACATCCTCGGAGAGCCATTCTCATCCTGGTAAGGAGGTGGCTGAAGCTCATCCAGTGGCGGTGTTCGTCTCATCCTCTGGATGCAGTTGGCTGGTTGGAAGGAAGTCAGGAGAGAGACCAAGAATCAGAATAATATACATATTATTATGTATAAAATGATATATGATTTTTATTTGAACCATCGGGAGAAAGTCAGCTGTGGTGCTTGCACTTTTAAGTCACGCCAGTTTGTCGATCGATTGGTGGGTCGGACAGGTAGGTTAACTACTTTACTCTAGAGTGACATGTTCCTTGAATGGATTGTGGTACAGTCATTCAGTCTCACAGAATGAAGCCTATTGACTTTGGTGATCCCTTGACTTTTCCTCTAGAGCCACCGCAAGTCAATGTTTTCACTTATCCTGTGAAATATCTCACCATCCCCTCGACTGATTGACTCAAACATTTGAACAAACACTCGTAGCTCCTAGATGATGTATCCTACTGACACTTTTGGTTCAGAATGTATTGTCGCAACAATTATTGGATAGATTGTCATACTAAAAGAACGATAACTCCATTGATAAAAGAGAATGGGGAAGCAGCACACTGTTGTATAAACGTATAAATATACACATTTCAGCAAACTGTCTTCCTTAGGATTAGGAATCTTATTCATCCTAAAAAATGAAATTTGCAAAAACATCAATCTGTATAAGAAATGTAAAGCAATAAAAATAAGTGTATCAAGTTATGGGTGTGCTGCTTCCCCATTCTCTTTTATCAATGGAATGTCATACTGGCATTATCATTTTGTTCAAAGCACACTGTTCCTATAAGTACAGCATCGCAGAGCTGCTGGCATTATTGTACACACCTCAACTGCAGCTATTACTGTAGGCAAGCCAAAGACTATTTTATTTATATTGCATATTTTATACACAGGGTAATTAAAAGTGCTTTACATAACATATGGTCACTACACAAAACAGGCTGAAACAAAAAGCTGTGAAAAAGCAAAGCAAAAGTGACAAAATAAAAAGTATTCTGCAGATTTAAAGATTTTAAGTAAAACCCAGGGCAAACACATTTAAGCTTTGATTTGCTGAAGCAAGTCTAAGTTCTTCTAAAAAGTCTTGTTCCAGATCTGTGCAGCACTGTAGCTACAAGCAGCCTCCCCTTCTTTGGAAGCAGGGTGTAGGGAAGAGCATCCTTCACAGAATATGCTGGTATTGTATTTCAAAGAACCGCCCTCTCAAATCAGTTGTTAACAACAATGCCAGATAACAGGAGACAAGGTGTGACATGTGAGACATGTTGTATAGAGGCACTCTTTACTACAGGCTCACACAGTTCTGCATGCATATGTAGTTCTGCATGCTCTTATGTAATTCTATGTACTTAGTCTGTAGCTGCAACTCAATGCTGAAGAATAATTTGTTTTTTTGTCTGTCATAATGTATATTGTTCATGTAATTCTTTACTACTGATATAGATATATTTATCACGGTTTTTACTTTCACTCTGAGAAACGGAAATTACCAATCCCAATGAGCATAATGTGCTCTGTGAGAGGAATCGTTTGAATACACAACCTAAATAAAACATCAGGTATGCACCATTAAAGGACTGAACTGAATACTTCTTAATCTGCCACAGATTTCATGCCTCTCACCTTTCTAAATGATTCAGCTGCCTGGAAGGCAAAGAATGAGGCTATACTGAGAGTCTCTGTGGCACTTATAAAGAACCTTGAATAGTGTTGTCAGCTGCATTCTCAAATCTGCCTCCCTTGTCCAATTTGGATTCACAAAAATTGAGCAGCCGATGCTAATACTCCCATAGGGACACTGCCGAAGCTTTAAACCCCGGTCTCTAGCAAAAATAAAAAGAAAGAAAGAAAGAAAACAAAAGATGAAGAAGAAAATAACTTGGGAAAAAAATCCTCTTCTTTTTCCGTCTCCTAACTTTTGGAAAAAGCCAACACTGTGATGACGTAATTCAGGCTTTCTCCCAAGTTCTTGAAACTTTCACTCTTAATAATGTCAGTGAGACTCCACCTCAAAGTGGCACATAACAGTGGCAGGATGGCGGCAAAGGAGTCTTAACTAAGTGTCATGGAGGGCTTGATAAAAGGAGCAAATCCATTTTGAGCAGCTTTTTTCCTGCTGAGCCGGGGGCGGATGATGTGATGGAAGCTGCTGTGTAAAAGCACTACTCTTTTCTCCAGCCCGCTAATTGGGATGGTTACCATTCCTCCTCTCGTCTAACCCACCCTTCCTTCACAGAGTTGCATCCCCTCTGTACTGGCAGTCGCCTTGTTTTGCCTTCTTGTACCTCTGTAAGTGGAGAAACAGTCTGTGCTTTGTGAATCTTTGACTGGGAAACTGAGGTACAAATATTTTAGGTGACAAATGAATGGCTTTAAGGAAGGGGGGAATGCAGCTGACCTCTTGACACCTTGACAAGACAGTCAAGATTTCACAAGGCAACTAACATCATGACTATCAATGATGACTCCAACCCCTTTAAGCCAGTATCGTATCAGTATAGTTAATGTAGGTTGTAGTATCTCCCTGATTTAAACAAAGCAGTGTATGAATGAGTAATTCATGCAATAAGTATGAATTGGAAGTTATAGTACTATTGAGAATCTAAACATAGATACAACAGATATTATTGACTTGATAATGACTGTGAGTACATGCTGTGAAAATGGCTTTTTACAAGGTGTTTACAGTAACTAAGAATAGCTTCTTTTTTTGTGTGTGTGTGCCTCCGAGCAGCTGGAAAACACACTTTGAAAATGATATCAGCTATGTAGCTCCCTTGTTCAACAGCTAGCTTGATTAAATAAAGAAATAGTTAAACATTGGGAGATGTGTTTGCTTTCTCTCCGAGAGTGAAATGAGAAAGTCGGTCAGTCTCGTGTTTGTGCGTCGAGTACGGAGCTGCAGTCAGGACGTAATTAGCTAAGCTCCCTCCAAAGCTCAAAAATACACCAAATAGCATTCTTTAAAGCTCACTACGTTTCACCAACAACAGGTTATCTATCCCCCAACACCTCTGTGCAGCATTTTAGCCATTTTAAAACATTTAAAACCATTTTAGCGTAGGTCTTTGTACAAGCTAACAATGTCACAGCATACTTCCCTCCTTATAACCACCTTTTTTTTTTTTTTGTGGACAAAAACGTGCATGACTATTTCTTGGCCAGGAGCTTCATTATCAAGTCACAGCAAATGTTTGGTATTGGTTATTTAGAGAGCTTAAGAGGTGTTGGTATGCATATTCCTGAACTTTGGACAGAGTCAAGCTAGCCAGGCAAACATGCTGGCCAGCTTCATGAACAAGGGATTGGTATTCTTCTGATCTAACTTCTAAGAAACAGAGCTAATAATAAGTGATGTATTGAACCTTGACAAGTGAAACTAAATCTGACTGTTAGAAAAACCAATGCTCTGCACTGTACTGAAGACTTTCTCCATTTTTAGTAAATGTTTCAACAAATGCTATTGTTTCCTGTTGACTGGCTGGGTGTTTGAGTGCCATAGCCAGCAGCAATTTGGCTAACTAGACAATGCTGAGCTTGTTACTCAAAACTGTACTTTTTGAAAGAAATGCTGTCACTAATTGGGAGCAGTAATGTGCTGCATCCTCAAAATTCAGAATAAGTAAGTTTCCTTTCCTGCGAATGACCACATATTCAGCAAGTATTTTACCCTACCAGTCTGAGGGCTCCTAAACGGCACTAAAAGTTTTCGAGTGTGTCCCCTTCAAAGAATAATTAGACTTTTTAAGACATACCCTTTTTTGTTTTGTGAGCGTTATATCAGAAGACTAATACACTCTCATGCCTGGCTGTAAAAACATAGACTGTATAATTAAAAAATGGACGCAGTCTCCGTGACTCTCATAGATTTCTGAAGAGCCGCTGTGAGGCTCAGTGCATGGGCTCTGGCTGTCACCATTTTAGCAGTTCTGACTCCACTGGCCCCTGGCTAATGCAAAAATGAGCAAAGATGTGGCGTACGGGGGGCAATAAAGCCGGCCTGCGACGGCAGGGTTCTTAATTATGCAGAACTTTAAGCCTTAATATAGTTTAAACAGGTAAGTTACATGATAAATCACCCACTGTAGAGTGGGTAAAGTAAAGGCCAGTAAAGTTGAGCATTTTAACATGAGGCCTTTTATTGAGATTGATCACTTCAGTAGTCAGCCTCAAGTGGTTGTCTGATAAACTGCAGTTTTTGTTACTTCTTAGTTGACTTCATTTGCCATCCACACAAACTTTTTTACCTCCAAAAATATATATTCCTCTAAGATTTATTTGTGATGCCTTTAAGTATCACTGTACCATCTTAGTTCACATCTGCATTTCCCCATGACCAGAAGCAGTGAGATCTGCACACAGTGTACCTGGACTGAGGTTTGAGGTTTTCTCCAGAGAAAGTTGAACTTTTCTACCATTTCTTACGTAAAGTAGCTTAATATGCAGGTAACCACTCATTGTAATGAGTAAAGACGGTAAGCCTGTCACTGACACTGAAATAATAAATACAAATTATTGTGACGTGTTAACACACAACAATGACCTAATGAAGCGTTCATGACAGTATGCTAACCTCAGAGAAGATAAAGGAAGTTGGTCCAGACAAACCTCAGATTATTTCTTTCTTGCTGCTTACTTCCTATTTTGGGATTGCTGTGTGGTGCCACCAGGGCACCCAGCTCTGCCTGATTCTGCAGCCTCGGCACAATCCTCCTCATGTATTATACATATGTCCTGAGGATAAAGCTCTTCATACTCACAGACAAACACAAGCAGCAGTGGGAGTTGGCAGAAAATAATGCCTCAGAACTTTTACAACACCTTGTTTGAAAATAATGAAATCAAGTGTACTCTCTCAGCTATATCCTGGAAACCTACCTAAATTTCTAATATTTTTCTGTTTTGGAGGGAAACAGTGATGTCAGGGATGATGTGAGATTATTGCTGATCCATGATGGCTTGCTGGGATCCATGATGACTCGGTGGGAGAGAAAACCACAGCCATCAAAGCCTTATTACCACAGGGAGGAAAATAATGAACATCTAGTACTTTGAACCAAAGTGCAGCCATGGATGTACAGAGGTCTCACTGCACTTCTGCACTCCTGGCTACACACTAGATTTATTGGTTGTGGATTACAAGTAAACCAATGATCCCTAAAAGTTTAGAGAAAATATGGATATGTTTTCTTGGCGGCCTCTTTTTATTTAACAGAAAGAAATAATCTGCTTCCAACCATGAATTTTCTATATAATCCTTCAAACCTTTAAGGGTATTTGAATCACATAAAAACAAACACAAGGCCTTTCATAGCTAAAACGTTGTCATATAAATAAACCTAGTAAATTTCAAATGATTGCTGCCAGGCACACATGACTCAAATCCCTGCCCCGCTCTCTCACAAGGAACAGTCACTGCATAATCTTACCGCAACAGAATAACAAGACAGGGATGACTTTGTCCAGAAAACAACAATGTTTTGAATCCAGTGTGAGCTGCTTCTTTCAAATACATACAAACATTGCTGTCTAGTAATTTCTCCACATATTTCCTCAAAAGACACTTTCCTTAATTTATTGTTTGAGCAGTAAATGACCTCCTGATTCCTAGTAGCGTTTTGTGTCTGATGGAATGAAGAGCCCATGACACATGGTGAAACCAGCTGTTCCCAACCTCTGGTTTGGGAGCCCCACAACAGGTCACAAGATGATTAACAGAGAAGGAATGTAAGGAAATTATGCTACACAACGCTATGTTTAATTTTTTTTGCTTTTGTTCTTGAGTTAAATTACTTACTAGTTTTATTTCTTTGGGACTCTTCTATTCTAATAAAACAACAACAGTCTTTGATTAATCTGGTCTCAGCTGTGCAACATACGCAGCCGATGACGTGGGGCAGCAAGTATAGTTGAAATAATTCATTGATTAATCTATTAGTCAATCAACAAATTAAATTATTCAAACCCAAATGTGAGGATGCCATAAACATACAATATTAAACTGCATATATTTGGGTTCTCGAATGAAACAAGTAATGTCATTAATGCATAATTTTCACTATTTTCAGACATTCATAGACAAAACACTTAACTCAATTAATTGGAAAAATAATCATGAGTTGATGCCCGTCGCGAGTAGACAATTTATTGTTTTAGAGGGTTGGGAACCCCTGTTCCAAATAATGCTCTCATTTAACTAAGCAGGTGTTTAAAATTTATTTATTTTGTTTGTGGATTATTGATTGTGGTAAAACCGCGACATATGACACCTTTATAAGCATAATATCTGAAAGAAACATGCAGTTTCATCACTGTAGATCTACATGATAATACCAGCAAAAACACTGACTGTTAAGTCAGATAAACTGAACAGAATATTATGAATAATTTGCAGGCGACTTACACAAAACTAGTGGAGAATCATTTAAATATAGCTCCGAAAAATGTGCCTTGTAAGGTGACAACAACTTATCAGTAATGTGTTAAATATTGTATGTTCTCACCCTTGTCAGAGAGCCACTTGTCAGCCAAGAATCATTGATAGCCTCTAAGTCTCAAAGAATCACTGAGGCCGTGAGACAGAAATGGAATGAGGCTGTGTGTTCTGGTTTTGGTCACAGGATCTCCTTTAACAGAAAACTTGTTAATATTACAAAAGCCAAATCATCCTTTTTCTGTAAATGCGACCAAAATCTTTAAATATAATGTCATTGAACAGCCCTTGTTTCCCCATCTGACACCATATCTGAACCCAGACTGAGGGTGACAGGGACCATCTAGTGGTTGTGAGGTGAAATACAGCTTTCGCAGCACTTGCGTAACGACAACCTTGTGCAGTACGTTGCTTCTTTACTAATGGAGTCAGAAGCATGTCATGCACTATTTATCCCTCAGCTACACGTTCAAACACTGCTTTAAATAGACTGTGCGAGACACTCAGCCTTGGAACCCACTGTCTTATATAACACAAAGCTGGTTCAGACGTGATTCACCAATTGAGGACCCTGGCAAAGATGAAATTGTTTTGGTCTTTGAACAACACTGTCAGACATGAACACAGCTGATTTCTGACTGAAGATGTCAAACACAAGCATGCCAGAGATGTGTCTTTTTAAGTGTCCAAACGAAACTACAACGTTAGAATCTGATCACCTCTACTTATTTAAAAGGATCACGTGTATCTTATATAAAAACAAATCTTGATACAAATATATCAGTAGCTCTTGCAAGCAGTGGTTTCAATCACAACATCCAGTTTTAGCTTTACAGTTCCCATCACTATTTTTATTCACTCATTTACCTTATTTCATTTAGTTTGAGTTGAGCTTTTGGTTTAAAATTTACTTGTAACAGATAAAATGTTCTTTTTTATTTTCTTATTTACTTCCTTTAAATAAATAATTTGACACCCTGTTTGTGCTCTTGCTGAAAGTTTTACGATAAGATGGATACGACTTTCATGTCTGTGTATAAAGCTACCATCCAGTTAGCTTAGGTTAATATAAAGACTGGAAACACGTGGATCAAGCCAGGATAATAGCTACCTACCAGCACCTCAACAGCGCAAGAATTAACACGTCATATCTCAATTGTTTAATCTGCACAGAAACTGAAGTGTAAAAATGACAAGTTGCAGTGATAGCAAGGACGTCACTGCTCCCAGCCAAAAAAGAGCTGCCACGTAACGCCTTGTGAAAACTCAAACTGAGATATAACATCTTATTTAGTGAGTTTAAAGGTGTTGGTACTAGGCCGATTTTACTACCTTGTGACAGAGCCAGGCTAGCTGTTTATGCTAAGCTAATCTAACCTGCTGGTGGCAGTAGCTTTATATTTAGCGTACAGACATGTAGCCCACTCCCACGTCAAATAGACCCATCAATCCACACGAGGAGATCGGGTCAGATGTTTTGCCTGTGTATGAAGGTGCAGCACCAGCAGTAGTATAAAGAGAGAATTTCCGCTGTTCAAGTTCCTTGTGAAACCTAAAGTCAACATTGATTTTGTAACATACAGTCTTTTTCTAAACCTAACCAAGTGGTTTTTGGTGCCTAGACCTGACCAAACTGCGACCTCATTTTGAAAGTGTAACACTGCGGCACCAAGGTGAGGCAAAATGAGTGATAACGGGTTGAGACACAAGAGCGGTATCCAGCCTCTCATTCATTTTAGAACCATCCCACCTGAATACATCAATCCAATATAAGAAATAACTGCAGCAGATATAACTTCAGCATATCATATGTCAAATATGTTACACATCTTGAATGACTGATTCACGTTCAGGGTGCAGATGAAGTGTGGATGGTACTTTCATAGTGTCAAATAAATCAGCAGCACACATTTCAAGTAAAGTGTAGTGACAGATGAATAACAGACTGATCCAAATAGGTCAGTGCCGGTGTTCTCCTGTGACTTGGTCTATGTTGAAATAAAAAGAAAACCTGCCTTCCATCCACCTCGGCGTAAACGTCTTGTGATGGAGAGTCTGGCAGATGGGAAACAGAGATGCGTCAAAAAAGAAAAGGAAAAAAGAAAAGTGTGAGGCTGTGCAGATTATGCAGACAGTTGACTGTTTCACAACCCTCCCACGGAGAGTGTGCTAAACGGGAGATTCGCTTTGATCACCTCTCTGGATTAACTGACAGTGTGTATCAGTGTGTGCTGTGTATTTGTGTTTGTTGGATTGGAGGATGGGAGTCTGTGCGTTTGACTCAAGCTTACTGCAGTGATAAGGGGGAAATATTTGTATTAATCTATTAAATGAGTGGAACTACTCATTATACAGTTGAGGCGTCTTTTGTGGATGTTCTTGGAAAAATTGAGTGATTCTGAATAGCAACAACATTAAAACACAGAGAAATGCTGCTACTGCACCGTCTCTACATATGAATACTAGCAGGAAGGAATGCTAGTTTTTCTAATTTAGGTCACAGATGCAGAACCTACCGTCGTCAGCCGAGGCTTCACTGCTGTAGCCGTCATAATCAGCAGTCAGGGGGCTGTACTTCTGCCGGCTCTCCCAGCTGAAGCCTCCTGCGTGTTTGGTATTAACGGCTGCCTTGGCTCCTCCCCGGAGGCCTTGGGAGCGGTTGACCGCTTCCTGATACTGACCCATCAGTTCATCCTCGCTGTCCGACGATGAGCCCTGCAGGTCGCCGTCGGAGTAGGCCTTGTCTGGTCAGGGTAGAGAAAGATGCCCTGGTTACTGAGGGACAGACTGGGATGCAAAAGGTCGGGTAGACTGGCAGCCTCTGCTGGACTCAATCCTGCATTACACAGGAAACCAGCAGAAATTTCTTTGTAAAAGGTAAATGGAAAAAATAATATATTGTATAAAATAGTGTCAGAATACAGTAGTTATTCAGAAACAAATTTCTATAAATGTGTCACCAAAGCTAAAGTGAAGAGAGACAAAATGTCTCCTAATGGATAGGGAGATGTCCTCTAATATTATGCACGTGGATTACCTAGATAATGTTGTGAGTGAAGTGAGTGAGTGAAACAAATATCAAAACATTAACTTTCTTGTATTTTTCATTAAACGCACACATAGCATTTGTCTATTCTGGGCTACTGTAGAAACATGGTGGTTCAATATGGCAGACTTCACAGAAGAGGACCCGCTCCCTCTGTAGATAGAAACGGCTCGTTCTAAGGTAACGAAAACCATACATACCTCCTAAATGTTACGCACTGAACCCTTAAATGTTTTCTTAATAGTATAATAGTAAAAAGTGGTGGTTGTCATGACATAAATTTGTTTTGCACTATAAATGTATAACAAACTGATCGAATCATTCAGTCAAAGCTTAAGAGACTTCAAATCAGAAAGGAAGATCTGCAAACCCTGAAATGCTATTTTCTGTATTCTATTTAATTTCTCCAGCATCAAATTATCTATATTATCCTTACAGTGTTTTGTATGTGTTGAATTCACTGGTAAAATTGCAAGATGTCATGATTCATTTTGTTTAATGGTTCTGGGTTTCGTCACACACAGTGTCATCCATTCTCTGATGTTTAGTTTTTTGTCCTTGTCAAGCCATTCTGAGATGCTTAATAAACATGGCTTCTGAAAACTCATGAAAAACACAGCAAATTCGACAAGATTATTCCTGACATCATCAACTTTGTATATTTGAACTGTTTAGCAGAATTGTAATGGAATGTATCCTTTTTACCATCATTTACTCGACCCAAATCCTACATAAAAACAGATAAACAAACAGACTGACAGAATTGTGCTTTGGATGAACTTTAACAACTCTGATCATTCAAAATAACAAAGCAGCTACCGAGACATTCAGAAGCAGACTTGTTGTGGTTAGGTAAAGCATTAATAAACTGCCAGATATATCCATATTACAGATTCTTGAAGGTATTTTTTAACACTAATGAGCTCTGTCCATGATCAGACACATTATGCAACAAAGTGCTATGTTATGCAACAGAAATATATTTATAGAAATATAAGTAATATATATAAATATATTGTTAATCCAAAGAATACAAGTTTGTTAGATACATATAATGCAGTCCAATAGAAAAAAATGTGTCTTGTCCTAAAAGCTATTTATGAGTTAGACAGAACGCAACCAAAAACACACCAATAACCAGAATTACTATGAAAAAGAGATTTAAAAAAAAAAAAAAACACACACACACAAAATAACACACAGGAAAGAAAAACAAAACAAAAAAAAATATTTAAATTTTTTTTTTTAAATATAATAAGTAACAAGGATACACAAGAAATATTGTGTAAATTCAGGTAGTTCCAAAGTACAGGTACTTGTAATAGAGAAAGTGAATTCTCTTTTAGTCTTCAGCCTGGATTGTGGAACCACCAAAAGGGCCTTTCCTGAGGAAATGGATTCTGGCTCATAAAGAGTTAAAAGGTCAGACATTAAACTAGGGGTCAGACCTTTCTGAGCTCTAAAAGTGATCATTTCTGAGTCGTACTGGTAGCCAGTACAGATGTGCTTAAACTGGGGTGACATGGTCTCTATGTTTAGTGCCTGTTAAAATACTAGTAAGAGCATTCTGTACCGGTTGGAGACATGAGATTGATTTTTAACTGAGGCAGGTATACAGAAAACTGCAGTAGTCCACACAAGATAAAATAAAAGCATGCATTACTTTCTCCAGATCAGCAAAGGATAAAAATGACTTGATTTTTTAAACATGTCTGAGTTGGAGAAAGCAGGACGGCAAAACTCTCTTCACCTGCTCCTCAAAAACCAGGTCACTATCAAAAAACACTCCTAAGTTTTTCGCCACAGGTTTTATATTAGATGACAAATCCCCTAGATCCTGTAAGAAAATATTCCTTGTGTTGAGCTGCCCAACTAAAATTATTTCAGTCTTGCTTTCATTCAGCTGAAGAAAGTTTTGTGGCATCCAAAATGTAATGTCCTGGAGACATCATTTCAGCAATTGGGATTATCTTGTCAAAGGGTAGGTATAACTCCATATAGTCAGAATAGCTATGAAAAGAAATGTGCTTACGAATGATATGATCCAGTGGGAGCATGTAGTGAAAGAATAAGATGGGGCCAAGAATTGAGCCTTGTGGAACCCAACAGGTTATATCTGCTGTGGACGATGATGACTTGGCTATGTTGACAGAGAGAGTCCTATTTGATAGATAGGATTTAAACCAGTGCTAAATCTGAGATACCTACCCACTGTTCAAGATGCTCAATTAAAATAGCATGGTCTATGGTATCAAAAGCTGAACAAAGATCTAGGAGGATTAAAACAGAGCATTCTCCTGCATCTCAGAAGAGGTTGTTTGCAAACTTTGGCAAGGGCTGTTTCTGTACTGTATGATGGTCTAAACCCTGACTGGAACATTTCAAAAATGTTATTATCATTCAATAAATAAGATAACAATTGGGTTTTTTCTAAAACTTTAGATTAAGAAGGGCAGCTTTGAGATGGGTCTAAAATTAGTAAGATCTGATTCATCATTTTAAGGAGAGACTGGATTACTGCATGCTTAAAACTAGATATAGATATTCCTGTAGCCAGAAAACAGTTGACAATAGACAGAACTCTATTGTGTCAGAGACATATTGGAACTATATCAGAGAAAGACAATATTGTTTAAAAAAAATCGGTTGAAAACTATTTTAAACAACTGTCAACTGAGTCCATGTCAGCTGGTGAAAACTGGCATCTTATGTTATCAACCTTCTGAGTGAAATGGACAAACAAATCCCTCATACTTCTCTGTGGCTAGGTGAGTAAAAAATAATTACCAAATCTATAGTTTGTAACAAAACCTTAGAATTATGACTGTTTTGGGATATTAGGTCTGAGAAAAAGCAGCTCTTGCATCTTTAACTGTTTTTTAATATGTGAACATTTAATTTCTCAAAATATCCTGGAAAATCTGTAATTTATTAGACTTCCATTTATGCTTGGCTTTTATGCATTCTCTAAGCGAGTCTCGGGTTGTCTCATTTAGCCATGGAAAACCCAGAGATTTAGGCTTGCTATTTTTTAGAGGAGCAATAGAGTCAGGTACTGCCAGACATTGATTAAAATGAGTGACTAGCTCATCTGTGTCCCTATGGGACGTCATACCAGATGTATCACTGTGAGTTGCATGGAAAGCCTCAGAGAATTTGGTTGTGATGTAACGTCTGTACCACCTGCATGTAGATACATGATTTTGGAAAATAAACACAGAAAAAAGGAAAACAGTGAACAAATCTGAAAAACAAGATATGTACAATCATTGTATTCTTGAAAAGATTCAACAATATTTTCTTACACAGTATTATATACAGTAGGTGAATTTGGTATCAGTATAATAATATTATGTGAATACAACAGTCTCTACAACGTCCTTGCTTTTACTTGGACCAAGCACTGAAACACCATTTGTAGCTTCACATTTGTTCCAGCAAGGGGCAGCAGAGCCTTAAAATGGCTCCAGCCGGAGCTGAGCTCTAACATCTCCCAGGCAGACTGACAAATGTCTCAAATCTCACTGTATTTCCAAAGTGCATTTTGTTTCAGAGCATAAAGAATGAAGAATGAAAGCTTTGGATCCATAAGAAACATTCATTCTAAAATACTAGTGTAAGGAGAGGAGAGAGGAGAGAGGACAGTAGAAAAATCTTCTTCCACTAGATTGCGTATCCAATCTATGAAAAATAAGCATACTTGTCCCATGTTTTTGTTAAAATAGTCATTGTGCAAACATAATAACAATATAAAACCTAGACACCAAGAACACCTCACCACCTTTGTTTTTTAACTGAATGTTTACCAGGTGGCTTCTCAGGGTAGAGCCAACTCCCCATGCAGGCTCCCTGGGGCCACCAACCTTTTAAACTTCTGAAGCGCTGTGGATGGATGACAAGTAAACAGGCCTACATCTGTCAGCAACAGTAATCCCCTCATGGATTGAGAAAGGCCAGTGCCAGTGGAAAATGTCCCCATGCAGAGGTCAGGCCTCATGCTGCAGTTGGTGGCATAGGTCCATAATTTTACAGAGTGGCTGGGCTGGACACATGTCTTTTCTAGTGCCTAGGTAGAGCACAGGGTCTGATACGTGAACAATGATGGGAGAACTGTGTTGAAGCTCTTAAGAAGGATCATCATATTTGATCTAAGCTGCCCTAATATCTGAAGAGAGGTGAAGGTGAGCATCCTTTTTATATTTAAGTTTCAAACAGACACAATCTCAAATGCTTATATGTGTAATTTTGATGAGGAGACCGTTCTTGTAAGTAACCTGGTTCATTTGTTCCCCTGCTACTAGCAAACTGACTCATGAATGGCTCTTTCAGTTCTGTATTTTTCAATATCTTTGTGCTGCTGCGTTAGCTCGCTGAACGAGAGGCGGCTCTCACCCGTTCTTAAGCAGACCGAACAAGTTAGCTTCTGACTCAGAGAGACTCTAAATTGGATGGTAACCCAGCTCTTAACTGTGCATGCTCCATACAAAAGCAGGATTTTGGATTAACTTCGGCTTCCAAATTGTTCCTCTTTAATGTTCAAAAAGAATGATTCATTCCCAAATGATCTAACAATACTACTTTTCAACAAGTCTGTTTTTTTCTTTGGATATTGCTAGCAGCCTGAACTCACCTAAAACAGTCTAAACCAAGGTATATAGCACAATTATCATAGACACATTGTTCACTATTGGGTCCGGTTCACTAAATGTGCCTTAAACGTTGAGCAAAAGAGCACAAAACGTGCACAAAAGCACAGATTTGTAAACACAGTCTCACCTTGCAGCTCTGTTTTTTTCCTGAAGTCATCAAGGCACTGAAGGCTCCCTGGGTTCTCTAGTGCCAACTTGTTGTTGAGGTACCAGAACAGGAGGGTCATGAGGATGATGAAGAGTCCGATGGCTGTCAGAAACCCCAGCACCTCTGGAGAGACTGAGACACAGAAACTAAAGCTGAAGTTGCTGTTGTTTGGCAACAGATGAGAACATGGCTGAGATGACTACTATTTTTTTAAATGGGAGAAAAGTTAGTAACCGTAAGCTAACACAAAAACGAAAGTGGCAGCAAGAATACTGCTGCTGAAAAAGTAACCAAGACATCTTCTAATGGCCATAAAGCAAACCCTCTTCTTAGGCAGTCTCCTTTGTAATGCTTCCATTTTTATATTATGTGAATTAGTGTTTACAAATGTTGAAATGAATGTCGTTGGTTTTTGTTCAAAGGCAGCATTATGCACTTTAACAGCATAATGAATGCCATACTCAAATGCACCTATGATGTGAGAATAGTCTAAGTGCATTAGTTTGGTTTTGGGGAAGCAAACAAAAACCCATATCGCCCACTTTCTACAAACATCGGTTCAAGACAGATGAGACAGACGGAGGCAGGTAGATTGAAAGGGGCCGGGAGAGACGGAAAACAAGTGGAGGAGAGCAACACAACTGGTTGGTTGCCATAGCAACAGGTTCAGGTGCAACGTCACTCCAGACTCCAGACACACAGGCAAGTCAGAAGCCATTAAACGCAACACTGAGTGCCACACATCAGTAGATACGGTTTGGTTTGGAAAGAAAACATTGTTAGATATGCAGACAGGATTTATAAAACCACAATGACCCCTGTTGATGCAGACAATCTGAGGGAGTTTCTGATGGATGAAAGCTAGCTGTGTGACCTTCCACCACACATATGACCTTCCAACACATTCATGGAGGTGTTATGTTATGATCAGGTGTGACGTTTCTGGCTGTACTTGACCTTGCGACATCAAAGCAATGAAATGAATCCCAACTGTTCCTAAGTACAGTATTTAATGTAACCCTTTCAAACGGAAAAAAAACTAAGCCACCGTAATTTAGCGCAACCTTTTCACTTCACTGTGCAAAAGTTCACAAGCTGGACTGTAATCTCCTACGGGGAGTTCAGGAAATTTATTCGACATTTTACACGGGCAAAATAATTTGTTACAATCGGGGACACACAGAGGATGAGTGGGTCACTGACTGTTCACAAGCTGTTACACATAAAAAAAGAAGAAATGCTCCATTTAACTACAGTAAAATGTCACTTTCATGCCACAATTCCTGCCCAATCCCAGCATAATGAGAATAATGTTGAGATGAAACACTGAGAATAATGTTAGAGAGGGAAAATTATGTCTCATGTGTATCTGTGTGTGTACGTAATGCAAACAGCTGTCATGTAAGAGCTGCTATACACAGACTGTCTGGATCTCGTCTTATGCTGTCAGTCGAATTTATTGTTCAACAAGTAGGGACACATTTGAACAATTATTTTTACAGTTTAATAGACTAGGCATCTTCCATAATTTAGGGGGGAGCTGCACCCACTGCTATGAGGCAATAACCATTCTGTGCAGTGGCAACAGACGGCCCCCTGTTAAAGCCAGGAATTATCCAGTATAACTGTGTCTTTGAAAATGACAGAAAAATAAAATAACATCATGTGCACGTCATTCAAATACAGTGTACGGTGCATTATGTCAGTTCTTTGTTTTTGTTTTTTTAATGTATGTAACCCTGCACACAAACCTTTTCACAAAAAGTTTATGGCAGTAGAAGAAAACTTGTACACCACTCTGTATTCTCTCCAACATCCATAGGATGATGGTGAGAGGGATTTGGATTGTAGGAAGCAGTGGATAGGAAAAAGGATTGATTTTGTCGCCAGTATAAGCCAAGCTCCAGCTATTAAATAACAGATTCTGTGAAGTACTCCAAATGAAGAGTTAACTTAACTGTTAATAATTTATAGTGTCAAAGTGTAAAATAACAAAAGATGTCCATATACAATGCTAGCTCTACATTATATTAGCAAAAATCAATAGTAAAGAGTGCAGATGTCTGAGCCATTCACTGAAGTGTCAGATATAAGTAAGAAGAAGTGATAAAAGAGGGAGATAAAACAGATGTTTTTAGTGCAATAAGGAAGAATACATTGTTCACTCCTCACATTACTGCCGAGCTCATTTAAAGTGATGAATTAAGCTTTCAACGCGGAAATCACTACATGTAAAGTCCATTTTGTTCAATTAGACCAAACGACTGCCTTGGTACTGATGGAAAATAATAAGCTCATTCAGCGACAAAGTGTACTTAGATGACATCTTATTTTCCGATCAAATAATGATGATGCTTTATTTTATTTATAATGAAAATCAGCTGGACTCTGGTCTGTTACTATGTCTTCATTATGTTTTTGGACAGCCTGGATGAAGTAAATGAGACATAACAGGATGCTGTCCGGTGTGTGTTATAGGGTGACATCCACTCAAACATCCACTCAAAACTTACACTGTATTAGTTGTGTAGTAAACTCTGCTTAGTTTTTACACATATAGGCCTAATTAGGTTAAATTAACTCTTCCATCACAAAAACAATGAGCTGTATAACAATAAGGCTGTTACATATTAACAGCCAGACTTGCTGATTTTTTGAGTAAACGTTGGTCCTCTCTGTTAAATGTGCCTGGGCTGTAATGAGCCTGTTGGTAGCCCACAATGTTTGGTCACATGGTGAGATAGGAGCAGGAGGCACTCTCCCATGGGAATGCCTGTCTGCTCACACTGTACCAGCTTCTCACTGTGGACTGAATTATTCACAGCACAGATGGAGCGGGATCCTGCTCTGTATAATTCCCCAACTGGCTCGAACAGGGTAAATAATATTCAATCCCAGAAATCTACAGACAGTTTCTCTCTTTACTTTTGACTCCCTGACATAAGACTACAACATCTTTTCTTGGTTTTCTTTATAAACCTTATATATTTTAGTCCCTAACATTTGGCATGTTGCCGACACTGTAATAAAAGCGCTGTACAGTTGTAGGTGATGCGTGGTGGAGGATGTCTAACATTATCCTATAATGTTTAATTATTATCCTTATTTCCTGTTTAAGCTCATAAAACAGAAGCTCACTCACAAATGTAAAATATGGTTGTGGCATTTAGATTCTCACCTTGCATACTAGTATTCAAACCTGCAGCCACTAAAATGGAACTTAACTAGAAGTGATCCTGACAAACGTAAAAAAGTAAAAACAACAGTGACTACACATTGATCGTGATCTTTTGACTATAAATGAAGAACAGGAGAAAAATGAATAGGGCAATTTACAGTTTATTTGTGAGTAAAGTCTACAGTATATGTTCACTTTAAGCTAATATGACTTATTTTACCAAATCTACTGTATTCCATTAAAATGCAGAGAATAGCCCTCAGATAATGTGTGGGGGGCTGAATGATGACTCACAGGACGATTAAACAATAACAGACTTTGTTACACAAGAAGCTCGGATAATAATGTGGGAAAATGTGGGGACCTTGTAATGGTTATAAAACGGTTCCACATACCAAACCTGAGAGAAACTTTTTTCGAAATCTATTTCCTAACAGAGATACTGTATTCAGAATTCAATACAGCAGAATAATTCCTGAAGACTGACAGATTTCACATCGCTCCCTCCTCAGGATGATCTCCTATGACAATGTTATTTCTGTAGTCTGTGCAGTTTGCTTAACGATAACCTGAAAGGGTTTATGATGCAAGTAAAAAAAAAAGAAAGATCGAAAGATGTCCTTGTTGTTAACGGGAAAGTGTCTGAAGCTGAGTATAATAGAGATTCAGCTCCAGTGCAGGCTGATCTTCATCTTGTGCAACAATTTATTTGAGACACACTGAAACTAGATATGAGAGATTATCTGGTAGTTTGTGAAGTGGATGAGAAAGACAACGCTTACTAAACTGAACTTTAAGATACTGAAAATCAACAATAACTCTTATTTGGACACAATAAAGGACAGGAAGTAGTGTAACATTTGAATCGAGCCTGAAGAGATATGATTTATTCAGACAAGATTCAAGGACCAATCACCAGTTTGAGGACACAACGAGCCCCCAAAATTCAAATTGAAAGTTGTGGAAAAAGTCATGGAGAATGACAACCTGTACAGAAAGCAGTACCAGCAGTTAACTCCTTATCTCTGGCTTGAACTGGCTGACCTTGAATGGATCTGACAGTCGCCATGTTGGTCCCAAATGAAACTACAGTGGCTACAAACGCTGCCCATCTTCAGTTAAAACCAATAAATACCATCGTAACCTAAATAATCAAAGACACACCTATAGTTATTTTACCAAAAAAACCTTTGACAGCTCAGCTGATGACTGGCCAAAAGAGGATTTGATTGAACCGTGCCGACAATGACAGTGTCCTTCAACACAGGGTGGTAATACACAGGACACACTGGAAGAACTATATCTCCCACAATGCCTGGGAGCACTTAGAGATTCCCCAGGAGGAGCGAGAGGACGTTGCTGGGGAAAAGGACATCTGGGCTGCTCAGCTGACCCTGTTGCTATGGTGACACTGACTCAGGTATGTGATTAAAAAAAAAATAGATGGCTGGATGGTTGATGATGGTGTGATTATGCTAGGCTCCTAAAATTGTAATGTTTAGGTGTATGTGTTAAGGAGGGTATCTGATCTTTGTATATGAATATTAAACAGTCCGAGGGAAAGCTACTGCACAGAAGTGGAAAACAAAAGTGCTTTATTATTGTGCAAATTAAAGCGCTTTGTTGTCGCTGTTGACAAATAGCCTTGGTATTTTTGCCTGGTTATTGTTGTGCGTCTCTACTGTCTTTGTTGCGCTCTGTCCGCATGGAAACAGTTGCCATGTTGAATGTCAAAAAGCACAAAACCATCTCAAAACGATGAAAACACCCACACACTCCACAGGCAGTCCACAAGCACTCTCACCAGCACTCCCATACACACTCCCACACATGTTCAGACAGCGCTTCGGAGCGCAACACCTACTGTGTAGCCACAAGCCTGTCCACACACAAAAATAACACACACACACACACACACACACACACACACACACACACACACACACACCACTGGAATCAGCCTTCAACAATCACAAAAAACAAATAGGATAACCCAAATTATAAAATATGCACACACTTACACAACCAGCCCATTCAGCTGGCTCGCACACTGTGATAAGCACCCTCTGAATCTACTTGTGCATGTTTGGTTTAAAAGAGAGTCATCTCCATCCAGAACATGAATACTGCCATGGCAAAGAGCGGCAGTGAGTACTCTGACTGAACATTCAACATTAGGATTATTCTAACCAGCCTGATGTGCTAAAAGCTTGTTAGTACAGAACTTTACAGTTGCAGCACCACAGTGACCTAGAACATGTACTTATATGTGAATGCTGCAAAAAAAACTTTACAATTACCCATAGTGGAGTGTGGTTTATCCTTTAAAGGCTTTCTACTAAATTAATTCATATAGACCCACAATAATAAAACTGTAGGACTACATATTATAATAATAACAATCATTTAATATATACAGGTCATCAAATAGAAGAGAAGATGTAACAAATTACAGTCTCAGTACCCACTTAACAATTATGGCATACAGTAATTGTTACAGTAATAATGGATAATATGGTTAAACAATGCAGAAAAAGTTGCTAGGGGAAATAAAATGTTTTTATGTAAATTATTTTTGCTTGGGAATAAAACACTGTTGTGCCTTTAAAGTTAAAGCTGTGAAAAACAGTATGTGCACGGTTTTAAAATGATGATAAAATACTGGGGGAACAGTGATGTCGTTTTCTCGGACAACCAAAACTAATGTTAGAGAACCAGCTTTTATGTCTTAGCATATCACATCATAAACAGTATATACAAATGTATATAAAAAATAATAAAAATGTATTTTCAGGCGTGTGCACAACAAAAGTCAGCATATAATTTATTTATAAAGGTATATAATGAACATGTTTTGTTTTTTAATAAGTTAAAGCGTCACATTTATTATGGCTCCTTTTAGGAGAACATATAGGCAAAACCCTGTGTGTACCCTGTATTATTATTTAATACCTACTGGCTCTACTTCAGATGTAATTTATTTCTATGTCCCTCCTGTATCCCTTGTACCTTTAAGTAGATACCCAGTAAATATTTCAAAGGTATTATGTATGTTGAAAATATTACACTGTAATTTGCAGGCTGTGTGCATGTTCAAGTTTTGACTTGTTACACAAATACCAGAAACACACTGTACTCTAGTCTGACTAGAGATTTAAGGTCTCTACCAGAACTGTAATTCCAAAACTATGAATCATGCCTAAAACGGGTTAAAAAAAAGAGCCACTGACGGTTCTAGAAAAGCAATGGACACAAGCAGCAGTGAAGGCAACACACAACAAAACAATCACAGGTCAGCAGCAGTGAAGGCAGCACAACCTGAACACAGTGGAACAGGAGAACAAGGACGTGTGTAAACGGTGACACTGTAACAGTGACAAATGCTGATGAGAAAGGTGGAGTGGGAGGTGCAGTGCGGGGTCGAAGGTCAACCTCCCAGAGCTCTGATCTGCCCTACCTTTTCTGACGCAGATCAGCTCATGTACTCCACAGTTACGCTCGCCACCTGGAAAGACAATGCAGTTTCAATGAGCCACGCCGTGATGGAGGGAGCGAAAGACAAAACAAGACATCATGGAAACACATTTAAATATGCTGGAACATTGAGACAAATTCCAAGAAAAGGATGAGAACAACACAGATATAAGACACGGACAGAGACTGGATGGTAACAGTCTGACGTGGGTGGTCAGTAGCAGTTATATGCAGCTCCTATTCAGAGGCTGAGCATGGGGTTATGTAGAATGTCATTTAACAAGCTAGACCACACTCATTTACAGTAATAATTACCTGTCCCAGCCTAAGTAGGTGTACATAACTCAAACCTCTTTTCATCCTTTGTCTCATCTTACATCACTCCAGTCCCAAAGCATTCTCTTCAACTCTTTAATTAGTACCTTCTTTACAGAAAACCTTCCTCTCCCTCAGAAAAAGTAACTAAAGAGGGGAAAGAGCCCTTAAAGAAATGGATTAACTACCTGGCTGAGAGAAAGATGAGAAGACTGATACCACTCTCATATCTGTCTGTTTAATACGAACCTTCAGCTAGCAGTCTGTTAAATTGGCATAAAGACTGGAATCGAGGAGAGCAGGTAATGCACCAAGTAACAAAATCTACCAACCAGCACCGGTAACGGTGTAAACATAAAACTACAAGTTATGGTTAGTTGTTTTCTCTGTTTCCAGTGTTTGTGCTAAGCTAATCTTACCATCTCCTGCTTTTAGCTTGCATGACAGTGAGATAAATCGTTTCATCTAACTTACTGCAAGAAAGCATAAAAGCCAAGCAGATGTTATACCTTTTCTTTTAGTGCCCTATAAATGAGACGTGGCCCACTTACCTCCCACCCTGACTAACTGATTTTCCCTGGATTCATCAACATAACATACCAGCTTTCATCCTCTCATTCATAAAAACTCTCCTCATTTCATCCTACCATCACTCCACACAACCTTTTGTTTCAATAAACTTATTCTTAGATAGTATGGTTCTGGACAACTCGCCGTAATATTAGTTAGATAAAACACAACAAAAACATCTGAAATAGAGATTTTCTGTCAACCTTGACTACAACAAAATACCAAAATACGTCTTTTATGAAACTGCGTCTTATTATTTATTTTGAACGGACTGACTAGACTTGATCTATCGAAAGCTGTTTGTCATTCTACAGCATCTCTGACATTTAGAAACCCCACAGCGTGATGAAATCATGTCCTTGATTGTGCATTTTCGTGTCACTGTTTGTTGAGTTTGCTTATCGCCATCAGGAGCTGCACCAGGCAGCAGAGATAAAGTGCTGAGGTATTTCACAACATCCTCAGATGCCATTTAAATGCAATCCTCTGATGGCTTGATGGTGAAACTGCTTGAGTAAAGTGTGGATGGGAGTTTGGGGAAAGTGATGTCGTTCTTGTCTGTGTGATCTGACTCCCCAAAGCATTGTTCTAAAGCCGGCACAGCTCAGTGATCCTCAACCATGGGCAAATTCTGGATGCAGAGGGTGTCTTCTAATCTTAGCACAAACCTTGGCAGCATCCATGCACTCCTGTATCAGTATGATGATTACATAAAAAACACAAGGCTGGACTGAATTTTGGAGAGATGTTAAAGTGCTATGATGACTGCCCAAAACATTCAGAGATCCATTAACAGAACTTAACAGAGTACTTACCAAGTTAATTAAATTACCTTGTTGATTGAAAGATGATATATTTTACAGAATCCATATTGTAGATTTTGGTTCAAGTTTGGGTCATATTAACAGATAGCCCATGTGCAAACCACTTAAGGGAAGTTTAGGAGTAAGTATTGAATTATAGTAACTGACTGTTAGCAGAGCTTAATGTAAGCGAACCCCACTGCTGTCTCATCTAAAGGGAATTTGGGATGCGAAGCAGTGTTTATTGTTAGAGTCCATTTACTGTCAATAAACCTTTACTGGTTATTGATTATAGTGATTTCTAAACTCAACATGGATTGGACTGGATGTACTATCCTGGGTGTATACATGTATATATGTAAATAACTATACAGGAAATATAAAATGACTGGATATTTTTATTTTATTTTATGTTATTCTACAATATATTTAGGTGTGTAGCATGAAGGGACTGCAAACTGTGATTTCATTGTACAATCTTTCTAGATACATTTCCTTGACCCTTGGATTGTGAGGCCTGTCAGGACTTTAGCTCATATTGAACACTTGCATGAACCTGAACTTTGTGGGTGTTGCCTTCCAATGCAAACTGACAGCATGTGCCATCTTACTGGCAAAACACTAGTAGCAAGTCTTCAGCCATGCTGGCGGTTCTGTGATGTTGTAATTACGCACAGTGGTGCTCACAGTGGCAAAGCAACCATGCTGATATTTAGGAGGTAAATTGCTTATCATGTTCACCGTCTTAGTTTAGCATTCTAATTTAGCACTACATGCAAAGTACAACTGAGGCTGGGACAAAATCTGATGATGGCACTAGGAAATGATGACCAATGTTATTAAAATTTATCCTGAGGGTGACATGAATGACCATACCATATTTTATGACAACCTAACCAAATAGTTGTTGAGACATTTCACTCAAAACCACAAATGTCAACCATCATGGTGGTAAAAGAGAAAAGGCCAGGGGATCAGGATTCATCCTCTAGGAAACATGTCAGGGCAATTCCTTTAATAGTTGTCGGGATATTTAAGTGTGGAAGTGGTGGACCGAACAACTGACAGCCAGTCATTGCCAGTCATTTGTGTTGTTTTTTTTGTACAAAAAAAACAACACAAATACAAAAATAACATGACATTAAAATTCTGCTTTGGAAAAGAAGAAAAAAAGTAAACTGGCCATAAACAGTGTGTTGATGTTGTTGTATTTCTTTTACAAATCAAAGTACTAATTCTTTAAGTGACACCTTCACATATAGAATTTGAAAGAGTTGTATTTCAGAGCCCGGCATCAGGAGCAATGTCTGGCGGTGGTTTCCTCACTGAGGTCCTCTGTCGCTCTGAATTCTTATACAACACTGTGACAGCTCAGTGGTCTCGACCCAGTGGGTGGCAGCTGCAGGGGTGTGAGTGTCCATCACAGCACCAGATTATCATGAGGTAGATACCTACTATTCAGACAGAGGACGTCTACGAAGAGCTCACCCTGGTTTTCTATACTAGACGGGCTTCCAGACAGTGACTGTAATTCAGAACTATTACTCACACTTGTGAAGCCCTCCCAGTCGTGGAGCTCTGCGGTGGCCTCTGGGATGTGCCTACAGGTTGAGGTCTCAAATAGCTCCGGCTGCCATCAGCTGTGACACTTGTAAGATTTGTGCAGTTCTGATACAAAAGGCTGAACGCACTGAAACTAATGGTGTCACAGTGGTGTAACGGTCGCAGTGACACATGACCTTTGCCTCATGTCATTTTTCATACCAGGCTATCATCTGAACCGCGTGATGACGTATCTATAAATGAATCAGCCATGTAGGGCTCGTGGGAATTTTTTTTGTGTGTGTGTGTGTCAATCTATTTCTGTCTTATCTGACAAAAAGCTTTTACCAGACAAGACTTTTAATCTAACTGGCATCAGACATCCACAAAAACTTGTTTTACCAACTGTAGGAGAGTACAATCCATATACAGTAGAGAAATCCAATATTGAAAAAGAATTGCTTTGCAGCATCAGCTGTGCCATTTAACTAGACCATTGTGGTGAAGGGGGAGCTAAGCAGGCTTTCGATTATCTGTTGATCTATGTTCCAACCCTCATCTATCGTCTATGATCACCAGCAACCAGTGCCTGAAATAAGTTTCCTCCGTAGGGTGCCTGGGCTCATCCTTATGAGGACGAAGAGCTCAGACATCGAGGGAGAGCTCGGACTAGAGCTGCTGATCCTGATGAAGGCCAAGCCAGTTGAGAGGGTTTTGGGCGTCTGATTAGGATGCCTCCTGGGCAGCTTTCTTTCGAGGTTTTTCAGGCACATCTAACTGGGAGGAAACCTTGGGGTAGACCCAAAACTCATTGGAGGGATTATTTTTCTCATCTGGCCTCGGGATCACCTCAGGATCCCCCAGGAGGCTGCTGCCGTGACCCGACCCTAGATAAGCAGAAGAAAATGGATGGATGGATGGAACCTTAATCCACCCTGATGAGAATTTATACGGTATACTGCACTGTTTGTTGATACTGTCATCCTACATTGATTGAGGCTCCCATCTTGTAAAGGTCATGTCCATAAGTATGGCTTATATTAGATACTGATTCTTCAATAAGAGCACTGTCTTTTTTGTCTGCTGGTTTAGGTCAGTCTGTTTCACAAAGAGCGGAAACTAAAGAAGAGAACTACAGCTGCAACAGTTGGTTAATTAATCGATAAGTGGATATAAAGAAAAATGTATCGACTGTGTTTTTGTTTTTGTATTAAATTATAAATCGCATTCTAGGCAAAAATGCCTCAGTTTCATTGGTTCTCCTTTCTCAAATGTGAATATTTGCTGGTTCTGTGGACTGCTGGTCAGAAAAAACAAGACATTTTAATATGTAAACTTGGGCTCTGGGAAATGTTTATACAATTTGCAGAATCAAGAAAGCATCATTACTTACAGCCTTAGACAACTAAAAATCTGGATGTTCTGACGCTATTCGGGGGTTGACGATCGAACTTGCAGAGTTAAAGCAATGCTTCCAGCTCTGAATTAAAAAGATTGTGCCTTTACCTGGACAAAATGGTCTTTCAAATGAGTTTTTGAGCAGCTCAATATTTTACATTCCAATGAAACCTCGTGGGTACAGTCTCTGGCCATGGGAAAGAATAGGTCATATTCATAAAATGCATACATATTAATGGACTGCCCTAGACCTTAACAAATGGTAAGTTTATTGGATTTTTTTAACTCTACTCTATGTATCAATGTTTCTAAGAGTAAAAGGCAAGAAACTCAACCAGGCTTCAGATAAGACACCTATGTTTTCACTGTTAACAGTCTAAATCCTGTAACTCAAGTAAAGCTG